CTCCTAAATCACTCGTACGCACAACTTAAGAACAAATCTGTGTACCAACGGTTCTTGCATGAGGTCCAAAGAATCATCTCTTTAAGTTCTGCAGAAACCTGTTAGTCATGAACTTATTCAGAGCAGGTGTGTTATTAGATAAACAAGTAGAAGATGGAGGATGAAGACCCTTGACGTCCAGGATTAGACTGATGAGACAAAACATGACATCTAATTAAAGTAAAAGYTGCAGCTTTTTTAAAAGCTGTTTAAAAAGACACCATTATTTTTGTTGATGTTTGATTCATTACTTCAGCACAAACTGTAAAGTTTTGTTTAGTTTTTTTTTTTGTTTTTTTTTCCAGGAGAAATTTATCAGCTAATGGAGAAAAGAAAGATGTCATCAGAGGAGTTGGACTCAGTTCCACTGGACCAAATGTGAGTTGTAAAGAAACATAAAATCATTTTATTTCATTGTTGTGTTTTATTTGTAGTCTGTCGTCAGGAATGTGATGTTTCTGTGTTTGAATGAGTGAACTCTGTAAGTTAAAACCTACTGGGAGCAGTGATGGAATGAATGGTTTTCTTGCTGTAATGCAGGCTGGGAGACTGTGGAGAAGTGTCACTGGTGAGGCATGACGGTCGAGGCTCTGAGGGCTTCCTGGAGCACGTGTTCAAACACGCTGCTAAAGAGCTGTTTGGTCTGGATGTGCAGGAAATCACATACAAAACTCTCAGGTAGGAGATTCTGACAGGAAGATAATACCACAGCTTTCTGCTACAACAAATATTTAAACATGCATCATGATTTATTTGCTTTTGTTCAAAAACTAAGATTCAATTTCAACTAAGTTACTGCAGCTAATAGTTTTGTTGTCTGATTCTCTCATGTTGTATACTGTACAAAGTATTGTATAGTCTTATAACAGTATACCACTCAAATATTTATTTACAGTTATTGTAATATTAATGCACATAAATACAATGTTTGTCACTTKGTTTAAAATCCAGAAACCAGATTTTAAACCAACATTAAATTAATTGTTTTAGTTTTTGCATTTTCATTCATGATGATACCTAGGATCAAGCTGAAATTATCATTTAATCACAAGTATAGCGAATGAATAATCATATAAATATAAAATAAAAAAATCTATTTCAATTCAATATATTGTGAGCCTGTTAACAGGTTGTTTCATTTAATTGTATTTCCAGTTCTAAGATAATTGTGTCTATATCAGTTGTTCATATTTCACCTGATAACAAGCTAAATCTGTTTACACTGATGACTGGATTAACTGCACAGCCAACCTACCTGTCTTTTATTTCTGTGTTCAGGTTTTGTTTTTAACATAGAAGTTTCCGTTAACAAACAAGTAAAAGAGCTGCTCAGTGCTCTTTGTGACCAGAGAGGAAAAAACAAAAACAATTGATTTGTCTTTGGTACTTTAATAAAAACATTAAAACTGCAGGAATGGTTTGATGGGATGATTTAGTGGTTTTAACTCTGGCTTTCTCACACAGCTTTCACCTTGTGTACTGAGTTGGTAGGAGAGAAACAAAAGGGTGATAAACTGTTTCTGTCCTTTATTAAACTTTTGCCAAGTTGGGGGACAAATCACATTTAAGATATTTATTTATTCTCCCTTTTTAATCAGATTCATATTTACCAAAGTGTGACATCATAAAATGAGCAGGGAAGTCTTATCTCATACCAAAAATACTCAAGAGGAGGAACCAGCTTTGTCTTTTACAGTGGTGGACAGCGCTAATTTAAATTTTAGTTGCGCACTTTCTAAAGCCCTAATCAATTTATTTAGGTCCGCAAGTTCAAAAACACATATGCTCAATAAAACATAGTGGAAGTTAATATAAAGCACAACATTATCTTCGTTTACCAGACAACATCCAGGTAACATAAATGTCAGCACTTTACTACCATCTAGTGGTAGGATATTTTTTTGACAGATTGGCACAAATCTGTGCAGAATGGGGAGGTGATTCATAGAAACAGACTTCTAAATCATGGTTATAAAACAAAAAATAGTTGTGGATTTCTAGTTCTTCTACTTAGTCATTTTTATGTTTATGGCAGGGCTTCAGTAAGAAAACATGAAGATATATTAATAATTTTAAACTGTTTGTTGTAAAACTGAAGCAATGCATTCTGGGTTGGCTACAGGACACAGAACAGGTTCTTTTCAAAATAAGAGCGTGAATTTAAACTGTTTTGTGTTTCTTTCTTTACTAATATTTATTTATTTAATACTTATTGCYGCGGTGTTCCTCGGAGAGGAGGTACAAACTGCACAGCTGAGTGTGGTTCTGCAGATCAGAACCACAGGTGGACTGTCACCCAGTGAAGAAATTCTCTTCCTCCTGCCACGCAATGAATTGTGGGAACACTACAGTCTGTATTAAGAGAAAACCGTGACTGAGAAGAGTCAGAAGTCAGAGTATAAAGCTCTGTGAACGCAGAGCAGACTGAGGGCTTGGTGTTTCCTCACAGTGGAGCTCCRTTGTGTTCAGWAGAGACAGCTTTCCCCTTCATTGTTCAAGAAAATCATGATGAAGTTTTAATGAATTATGTGGCTACAAAACGTAGTGAGAGTAGACGGCTCTTTCTCTTTACATTAGATGAAGTTGACATTTGACTGTGAAACATCATTTTTGATTAGCAACACTCAATTCTAAATTTAGAAAGTGTAAATCCACACATCTTTTTATGAAATTAGTAAAACCCCTAAAGCACAAAGGAGAAATTTAGGTCCGCAATTACAGCATTTGAGCTTTAGGGGGCTAGTGCCCACCACTGGTCTTTTATGGTAATTTATTACAACATTATAGCAAGAATCGGTTTCATTGACCTGCAGCTGTCACTTTATCATCTGCTCAGGGGAAAGAAAGAGAACATTCAGTTACATTAACACTGGTGTTAAAATTAATGACCGTTCAGAAAGCATCATGTTAATGATTATTTTATTTTTTTATAATGAATCACAAAAGATTCAAACACACCGTCATGTCAGCATTATCTGCAGACAAGGACAGGTTATTAAAAGCTAAAATAGAATTTGTCTCTAGGAAAGTTTTTCAGAATAAAGTTGAGTTAGTAAGGAGACCGGTGATGGTCCAGGGGTCAYGGTCGATCATGCTACACCAGTAATCAGTCCATGTCTGGTCCAAAGTTTTAGGTCTTTTTATCTTTAAACCTTGGTACTGCATATTGACTTAAACTGATTTCTGAAGTAATGTTTGTGGGTCAAMAGGAATCGGGACTTCCAGGAAGTGACCCTGGAGCGGGACGGGGAAACTCTCCTGCAGTTTGCTGCCGTTTATGGTTTCCGGAACATCCAGACCCTGGTTCATCGAATGAGAAAGGGTCGTGTTCCTTACCAGCTGGTGGAGGTCCTGTCCTGCCCAGGAGGTAAACTCTCCTCACATGGCAGCAGCTGCTGCTGTCGACTCCTTCAGTCTGTCAACTTGTTTGCTTTCCTCCCTCGTCTCCCCTCAGGGTGCTTGAGTGGCCGAGGTCAGGCAGAGAGCGAGGCGGAAGGTCGGGTCGATAAAGCTCTGGTCCAGCAGATGGAGGAAGTCTACAGCAGCATGCCGGTCCGACTGCCAGAACTGAACCCTGCCCTGAAAACCCTGTATGAGGACTGGCTGCAGGGCCAGAACTCTCTGGAGGCCAGCAAACTGCTGCACACCGAGTACAGAACTCAGAACCAGGTCCAGACACAGCCCCCTCACATGCAGTGGTGAGAAGACTCACAGGGTCTGGTTCAGATTCTGCTAGAACCCACTCACAAGTTGGCCTGGACCAGTGAAGGACAAACTGTAGATCTGTTAGCTTATGATAGGTCATTTGGTCAWGGGGGGGACGTTTTTCTTAATAAAAGGAGGCATTCCAGAGTCCAGAAGAGATGGAGTGTGTTTCTTGTGAACTCTAATTGGAACTATAACTTTTGTGAGTTGCAAAGTCACGTAATGTACCAGTGGTTCCAGKGAATAATCTGTAGCAAGATGGAACAAAATCAACGTACAGATACGATGTGCACAAAGCTCGTTAAGACTGAGGTTTTTATGTTCCACGATGGAAGCTGTCTTTTGCCCCTTTTCCACTAGTACCAGTTCAGGCTGGCTCGGTTCGGTTCAGTAGGGTTCCAAGCCATTTCCGTTAGGCCAGATTCCTTTTTCAGTACCTACTTTGTTGTGGTTCCAAGCGGTCCCAGTCGACACCAAAAAAGCGAGGTCAGAACACTGTTCGTCACTGATTGGTTAGGAGGTGGAGTCACTGGTTGAGTCTRAGCTGCCTTTACAACAACTCGAGGCGCCATTTTATCTATTGTAGCAGCGATATTCACAATGACAAAACAGAGATCCACACCATGGTCCAATGCTGAGGAGCAGGAGTTTTTCTGCCCGGTGGCAGAGTGARCTAGATGGGTCGGCTCGCAACGAAGAAGTGTTCAAGGAGCTGTTGGAGCTGATGGCCTCTGGTGGCTACRAGAGAACCCCGAAGAAATGTTGGGAAAAACTGAAAAGGTTGAAGTGTGATTATCGCACAATTAAGGACCACAATGGAAGGAGCGGTTCAAACCGGTTCAGACCTACTGCTACGTTTAATGGTTGCCTACAAACAGCATTAGTGCCACCATCAGGAAAATACCTGTTACGACAATATTCAGACTGTGGAAATGTCCAAAACACACCCACTGGAACCGGACCGGAACGTCAATGGAAAATAACTTTTCCTGATCCAACACTGACTGTACCGACACTGATTGTACCGACACTGATCGTACCGACACTGACCATTCCTGACACTGACCGTACCTGACACTGACTGTACCTGACACTGACCGTACCTGACACTGACTGTACGTGACACTGACCTTTTCGACACTGACTATACCTGACACTGACTGTACGTGACACTGACTGTACGTGACACTGACTGTACGTGACACTGACTGTACGTGACACTGACTGTACGTGACACTGACTGTACGTGACACTGACCGTACCTGACACTGACTGTACCTGACACTGACCGTACCTGACACTGACTGTACCTGACACTGACCGTACCTGACACTGCATGTTCCGACACTGATCGTACCGACACTGACTGTACCTGACACTGACCCTACCTGACACTGACTGTACCTGACACTGACTGTACCTGACACTGACCGTACCTGACACTGCATGTTCCGACACTGATCGTACCGAGACTGACTGTATGTGACACTGACTGTACCTGACACTGACTGTACCTGACACTGCATGTTCCGACACTGACTGTACCTGACACTGCATGTTCCGACACTGACCGTACCTGACACTGACTGTATGTGACACTGACTGTACCTGACACTGCATGTTCCGACACTGACCGTACCTGACACTGACTGTACGTGACACTGACTGTACGTGACACTGACTGTACGTGACACTGACTGTACGTGACACTGACCGTACGTGACACTGACAGTACAGACACTGACCGTACCGACACTGATCATACTGACACTACATTAGGTGGCACTAGTGGAAAAGGGGCCATAGTTCCTTTCTGTCCTGTCAAACACAACACTAACTATGCAACAACAGGCACAGTGAACTGTGTGTTTGAAGAATCAAGGTATTATTAGTGCATGTGAATTTCTTTTGTWATCTGTCTCTTCCAATTTCACAAACATATTTTTATTAAGTTCTGTATAGTTGTTCGTTTGACAAGACCAAACATATGTGACACGTTAAAACAAACTGCCTGACAGATGTTTTGTCTCATTTCAGTGAAGAATCTTGATGTTAAAATGTTTGTCGTTAATCAAGTCATGAAGGGTCTTCTTCATGGCTAAACTTCCAGATAAAAAGGTTTTGCTTGAGGATCAAATGACTGTTCTAGTTTGTCTCTTTTACAAACCAGTGCTTTTGCTCGCCCACAAATTAAAATCATCTGATTAAACCTAAAGTACATTCTGTATTAGTGGGACAACAAACGTGTCTTTGGCATTTGTTGGGTTAAACTGTTCGTAGCAGTTGTATAAAGAGTAGAAGGTAGCTAGTTTTATTTTTGTTACAATACAAGTCTGTTTAACAAATCAGTGTTCCTGTGCAGGTGGGAAAGGATGAAAATTGCTTTTAATATTTGCCAAGTTGCAATCAGAAGTTTACATCCAGGCATCAGGGTCAACTTCAAGGATTTTTAAAAACGAGTTTACAAAATTAACTGTTACTGGTTATACATGCATTCACCTGGATCTCTTTAATAAGTGGTTCTGAAGGTTGTATAATTATTGTCCRACACATTAAAACCTGGAAGCACAGTGGGAGAACCATCATCTTAGAAGCTTAGGTGATTGCTTTGGTGAAGTCAAATCATAGGAAGAAAACCGTAAAACTCATCATGTTTAATAGAAAGTAGGAGCATTTCTACACATTGCTCAAGAGTTTAGGATTTCTCAGCCACGTGTCTGTGGGAAAACCATGTGTCAGTGAGGCTAATGAGGAAGAACAGCTTCATTTTGTCAGTGAGCATCATCACTTTAATCTTGTTCCACAGTGACCRGAGCATCGGGGTAAGAAGAGAGGCTGAAGTGACTGCCACGTTTCAGTATTTTAGTTCCTGAGTAAACATGAGACAGACTCCAGCAGCTGTACAGGTTGTTCCTCCAGTGATGCAAGAAGTTACAACAGYTTTAATGACAGGATGTGTAGATCTGTGAAAGATACAGCGTTAAGGTTTCACTTAATGTACACAAGATGTTCCCTCAGCCAGAATATAAACACTTCTATAAACTAAATGGTATAGTAGAGTTTGGAACGATGAATGACAGGTTTCAACTCTAACTTGAACTCTGTAAAAAAAACAAACTTTATTATTTTAGAGCACAGTTGAAGGAAAAAGCCCCGAGGCTGAAGTGACTGTTGAACACATCAGAACCTATCACCCTGGGCTGTTTTKTCTCCAAACTGTGTGGTATAGTTAGTTCACTCAGGGTTTTAATTAAATCCCGACTAATGTATTTATGTCTGTTCTGGCAATATTTATTTAACAAAGACAGAAATACGTGGTCCAAGAATGAAGGTACTCCGTGACATGATCAGCTGAGTATTATTACAACAACAGGAAACACAGAGAACAACCTGTCCTGTCTCTGTGCCTCTGCTTCTCTCTGTCACTGT